CTCTTTTACGCTGTACATTTTTGCCGCCCTGCTTAGGCGCACTTTATCAGGAAAAAGCATGCCCTTTTGCCAACATTGTTGGTCTAGAATCATCCCACATTGCTGTCCTAATTTCATCAAAATCCCTTGTCAGAGCATCCACATCCGGCATACTTGGAAAATGATCAAGGTATGGAATCTTCCTTAAATGAAACGGCACTTGGGACTCGTACACTCTTGGTCTAACGGGGGGTGGAGCATACTCCCTCGTCAAATCAGGTCCTTCATTCTCTTCCTCCTCATCACCCTCCTCACGAGGGAAGGGTGTGTCATCTTCGGAATCATCGGCATTGTTGTCATAATCACTGTTCTCTTCCTCACTCTGTGCATCTGCCAGATCCCGATTTAATATGTCATCTTCGGGCAATTGAATCATGACAGGTGGTTCAACTTGCTCATTTTCACTGCACAAACAAAAAATTAAACATCATTACTGAAATTAATAAATACTTTCCATATAGTTGTATCACTTCACTTACAAGTCGTAATGTGTTGACATTTCTTGATGGACATTATCCTGTTGGTGATGACTCTCGGATGAACCACCATGATCCAACACACCAGAACTACGCATATTCTAACTGGCCGTGGGTTCATAACTTGTAAAAGTCATATCTGGGCGGTACCCCCTGTGGAATATGTGAGCGTTAATACAAATTCAATACAATAAAAATATACATCGTAACACAAAGAAAAATAAAGTTTACCACTCGTCTTGTGGATTATGTAAAGCAAGAGAGAAATTATTTCCTCGCTCCTCATTCGTCCGTGGTGATAAGTTTAAATCAGGGCAAAAAATTTCATCCGGAACCTTTCCGGCAAAAACTACTCCAGAATAACCACCGGATGACTGAGGGTTATCCGTACTATGCGCAACCTCATTATTGCGAACGTCTTCGACCTTGACGTACATTTCTAACATTTTTATCACAAGAAATTCCCGGTATCCTTCCGGAGTCCTCAAAAAATCCCTCAAAGTTTCATCATCGTCGATGTTAAACTCAGCGTAACAAGCAACTCCTTGCAGAGTGACGGAATACGGATATCTTCCGATTATTTTAAGGTTCACCGAACGTTTTCTCACACTCATTTTATTACATAACAATGATACCAATCTATCGTACTCCACTATAAGTNTAAACTATAGCTAACAGAGTTATTCGCCACCACAACCTCACCCCCCAAATATAATGAAACCCTTACTTTTCGCTCTTCAGACATTATGAAAAAATGCTTAAGAATTTAACAAGATGAAAAATTTGAACGGTAGTTAGGAATATTTTTGAATGAATTTTTGTAAAATCGTAACGCCTTTAAATAAGGCAATGCGTAGCTCGGGGGGCTGAATTGTTTTAGATATAACGCTCTTTTAAAGGGCGCTATACACATTTGAATTATTGTTATGTCAGTTAAACGCAGGAACTTATTGGTGGACCCACAAAATATGTATAGCGCTCTTTATAACTGCGTTATACATATATAGCGTTTTTTCTAAAGGCGTTATATATGTATAACACTCTTTTNTTTAGATATAACGCTCTTTTAAAGGGCGCTATACACATTTGAATTATTGTTATGTCAGTTAAACGCAGGAACTTATTGGTGGACCCACAAAATATGTATAGCGCTCTTTAAAAGAGCGTTATATATAGTTAGGTAACTCTCTTTTTTTTTACACGCATTTTCGTCATACTTGACAAAAACAACCACAAGTGGGTTCCGGACTCTTTTAACTTACGAGAGCTTTATAACCCCTTGCTAAGTACATAAAAGATTGCAATTGCCAAAGAGCCGATAAGTCAAAAATATGACAACTAAACAAACAATAAAGGAAGCCCCAAACAAGAAATTTATTTCAGCCAAAGAGGAGGGAAGACACATGACAACGCGTGGACATGTCTTGCACATAAAAAAACATCTCGAATAGCTCTCAAGTTGACCTTTGGATAATGAAGTCCAATGGGCCAAACTATTCCGAAGCAGATCGATTGGGCTTTCCCACAACAAAACGCCGAGCATGTTGTCCAAGCCCAGTCTTCTTTTTACAACCATCAAGTGAAACTGATAACTCATAAGGAGGTGCATCAGAAGCCAACCATTGTTCGACATAGAATATGGATTGGCTACAAGTTTTGTGTGGCCCAGTAAAAGTAGTCTCAACAAAATCAAGAAACCAACCGTGGTGGTCACCTGATCCATCAGAAGTAACATTAAGCCTGCAAATTGGTGGGCTAAGACATAGGCCTCTACCAGTGAAGATGTCCACATTACCCCTTTCGTAGTAATCATAATTTGGGCCCATTAAACCCCATTTCTCTAGATCTGGAATATATACTGATTTTCCTTTAGCATCGCCAAGTGTAACGCTGATTTTGGAGTCTGTTCCTCCCTTTATGATTGATCCAGTTTTAACATACAATGTGTATACACAGTCTTCCTGCATCAGCAAAATATCCATAAGACATCATCTTCAAAAGATTGCGAAAGTTTAAGAATAATAAACAACTAAAGTATAAAGATTTTTTACACTAGCAGTGTAGCTAATCTGTTATTCCAGGTTAGTTACCATTTTTATTTGATAATCAGTTAACGTGTTATCATAAAAAGTTAACTATAATTATCTTATAAGTTACTTGATGGTGCACGGTCTTTTTTGTATCCTTAATGCAAAAAAATTTGAACTTATAGTTATCACAAACGTAACCATAAAGTCATGGCATAGAAAGCTGCAATTGACCAGGAGGAGTCATGACTCAAAACCATTGTATTTGTATCCAACTTTTCTAAGAATGAAATCCGTCAAGCTAATTAAATACTACTAAACTTTGATGTGATGTTCCTTTGTCAAACTAAACTTTCAATGTATAATATTAACATTTTCCTCTATCACAGTTAAGAGAATACACAAATCAAGATAAACTATCTTAAACTCATAATTCATACAGTATTAGTATAATGTTGAACGACAGAGGAGAGAGTACTAATATTTATTGTGCATTAGGAGTGTTGTACAGCGTTCAGCAATAATAGTACGACAAGGAGAAAATGTCAAGCATCAGATAATGCCATCTTACAAAATAGTTGCATAAATAAAAAGACAAGCTTTCCAGGATGTTGTTTATGAATGTACAGATTCAGATCTCAAGCATATGCTTCACTACAGAATGTACTGGTTCAAAGATCTAAAAATGAAGAGCTAAGGCAAGCAAAAAGGGACATAATTATCATATATATTATAAAGCACAGTCACATCATACTGGAATCTGGATTATGCAATAAATTAATAATTACAAAAGCAACATATGATCTGTAATCATAGTAGAGTTTGACGAATATGTAAAGAAACAAAAAACAAAAGTTAGGTATTACAGTCAACATATTGGACCACCAAAATTAATGAAACTCAATCCTAAAGTTGGATCAGTTGATCTTTAAAATTTCAACTGGAATAAAGCTAAAAGATTTAAGTATAGTGAAATCAAGAAATATATAAGGACTTACAGAAGAATCTGCTGCAACAGCTGAAAGAAAGAAAGTGAAAACAACAGCAAAGAGGAAGTGGCGATTCGTCATCATTTCTTTCTTTTGAGATGAGATTTGATTTCCAAATTTGGCTTCGTCTACCATTAAACTAGCACCCTGCATTATATATAAAGGAAATATTGGGCCGCGTTTTCCTGTGCGAAAAAGTCACTAGGCCCACCATATCCCTTTCCTTTTTTTCTTTTGAAATAAAGTTAAATTGCTTTTCTCTTTTTTTTTATTCATATCATTTCTTTTATTAAAAGGAAAAAAATAACTTGTAAATTCTCGATCCGGAATCCACTCTTCTCTATCTTTCTCTAACATTTTTATTCTTCTTTTTTCATTGACTTCAAAAATTCAATCTACTCTCCAATTTCAACAATTAAATTCACATTTCTTATTCAGAAGATTATTATTATACCAGTTAGTGAACAGTTTACTGGATATTGTATTTGCTAAGAAAAAAAAGCTAATGGGACCAGAGCCCTAAAATAAATACACATAATGAGTAACGACAATAATTATTAATAACCAGTAAATATACAAGGGTGTATAGTCTAATGTCTACATTACTTTCTGAAAATTATGCTATTTCGGGAGGGTCTCGTCTCTGCTGCAGGTTTAAAGAATATGCCACGAGAGGCATGAAATGATAATGTTATTCATCAACTTGGCAAATTTTCTAGTTTATTGCTGTCGCACATGGGCGTTGGCAGATTTATTTGGACCAATACTTAAAAACTGTTTAATTGTTCACCTACTCAATCTGAACATAATTTATTTAAGAATGGATGATGATTCACGTATGAGGGGATAAGAACGAGCACCACGTGACAGGCATCTGAAGATCGACACTGTTATCATGTTAATTATTCTATTCTTTTTATTTTTTTAAAAAAATGATTAGGAATATCAACTGATATCACCCTCATATTGAATCAGAGATATTTTCCCCTATGGGAAGGATAGTAAATTTTCCCAGAACAGAATTACAGAGAAAAAAATAATATGAAAAGAAAGAAGTGTAGGAATCAGCTATATCGGTGTATAATGCTTGTATGTTTAACAGTTGAAGCATATATAAAATAAAGAAGAAAACAGATTGTGGAAGCTCATGGGTTGGCTCTACTGTACTTGAGAGCCTTAGGTGGCATTTGTATTCAGATTTGGCAGTGGTTTTAAAACTTGAAAAATTACTTCTTGGAAAAAAGAAGATTTTGGGAAATAATCCAAAGAAATATGGTGTTTCGAACACCTGGTCCAAATATAATTTTTTTGGAATATGGAGTCTTAGTTATTTTTTATTTTTTTTTAAAAAAAAAAAAAGGAAAAACAGCAATTTGGATTCTTGTCTTGTTCTCCGAAGTACATTTGTTGATTGATTTTCATCTGTTTTTACATCTAAGCATAGCTAATAATGAAAATTTTCCGAGAACTTTTAAAAAACCAAAGTACAAAAGCCAGGATCTTTCAACCTTTAAGCTAATCGTGCAAATTTACTTTCAAAATAACATCAAATTCGTCTTATGAAATGTAAAATAAACAAGGGAAGCTGACGATAAGCATATGCACACATATTTCAGAATTAGAGCTATTAATGCTATGTACAACTGTACAAGCAACACTGATCACAGGTTGGATGAAATGAAGAGACGCATCATCGCTAGGGTCTCTGGCATGACATTTTATGTGCAACATATTCATCTGAAAAGAGGTGGGAAAAAGGAAAGAGATTGAAGCAGGAACATTCAAAATCATCACCATACCAAAATACTGAAAAACCCGAAAAAAGAAAAGAAAAACGACAAAATCATGCCCCAGCCACTCTTAGTATCTGAAAATGATAAAGCATACAATTTTCAGCAGACACTTCAGTTGGGGCCTTTTATGCCCCTGGCTTTAGAATGCAGACACAATCCGAAGCAGAAAGACCTCTTTTTGGGTACAGCAAACAGCAAAAAATCCCAACGACATCAAAAGCCTTACAAGGTAACCTTAAAATTTATCTAATGGAGGTCATTTCTGATTTAAGGTTAGCATATAGTATAAGCTTGAAATAACTCACAGAACTATAGACGTCAAATAAGGAAGTTTACCTCTTAATTCAGGTGCTGCTGCTACCAAGATCAAAGTCCATGGTGTAATCATATTCAATTGTCGGAATGACAGATGCCATAAATTTCAAGAATAGGAAAAGGTACCTGTCAATTGGGTGCTTCAGATCAATGTTCCAGAGAAGAGATAAAAACTTTTATCATGAAACCTCATGCAAATATACAAAAAATTGAACTGAATTACTTTTAATCTAGTAAAACAAAATTCTTTTATCATAATGCTTTACTTTTCAAAAGAAAAATCTAATGGGGCTGGAGATTTGTATGTGTCTCAATTTATTCAAATGAAACAGCATGTCTAAGACTACTGTGGCTACAAGATGCTCCTGCAGCTGCATGATCCCTTCCAGGAGTCACCAATGAGATATGAAGAATCCGAGAACATGATGCAAGGTTGCTAAATAGTTTCTAGCAAAGACACAATTATTTCCTNCAGGCGGTTAATAGCTACAGCTCAAAGATCTTTTCAGTGTAATGACTAACATAACTAGTATTGCATATGCATGCTATACATCGATGCCATGACGTGCACAAGCATTTGTATGTTTCCACATATGTTGTGTACTATTGATCTTCCAGTGACCAAATTAGATCATTTTGTACCATGCATATTATGTGAGCATGTCTATTACTGGCTGAAAAACATAGGTAAATGAACTAAAGTTAGAATTTACTGTACTTGTCAACTTCTGGTTCAACTCCCCGTGACATCAGAACATCAATGATCTTTTTCATGACAGCCCCATGTCGACATGGATGTACCGAAGCATGTTTTCCTGGTAGATGTGGATGGTCTTCAATGGTTACCTGTATAACAATATTGACAGCCAACAACTAAAAGTAAAGTGACAGACTTCCCAATGAGGAATTCACAGACTTTTTCTTAAAGGTAAAAATACCTAGACAAACTCACAAAACGCATAAGAACTTAAAAAAGAAATAAGGGTAAAATACACGCGGTTAAAACCAGACGCCGCTGGGGAACAACACTATTTTTCCAACTTGATCAGAAATTGTAATGGAACTAGATTCAAGCAACAATGCACCTGCTTGTATTGCAGTGAGTCTCTAACTCAATAGCAGTAGCTTTAAAGAAAGAAAACAGCTAATGTCTCACAAATTTAACTGAAGCTTGTCCATAAATAACATCCAGACCTAAAACATGTTGCTCACCGTTTTACGTGCATGGTCTTGACTGACATCTTCAAGTACAAGTTCTGGTTGCAGAAGCATCCTTGACTGCCATATAAAAACAAGAGCAGCACTTATTTACTATATGTGTCAAACAAAAACTTAGGCCTCATGAAATTCCAAAGGCCCAAAAGTTTTCATAGTTGATCAGTTTTCAAACAATTATAAAGTTCTGCAGAGAGGACCGTGATGCATGCCTAAGAAAGGGAATCTTATTTCTTCCAAAGGAATATACATTCTCTCCTGTATAATGAAGTTTTGAAAGGTAAGGGAACCACACTGATTCAGCGTTAACTGAATTGTTAAGTAAAAAACTATGAATACAGTGCTTCAAGCAGTACCCGGAAATAGGCAAAAGAAATCAATCATTAAGATAGGTAACCTATATTTCATCGCAAAGGAACGCTGCATAGTTCTGCAGATAAAAGAAATATAAGCATGGCATGATCAAAATAAAATAAAAGATGAAGGTCGGATTTCAGGAACTCCAGTAAATTCAGTTTATCAGAACCGGTAAACTCAAAGATGATACGCTGTGATACACTGCATTGGATATTACAATAACAACAACAACAACAACAACAACAAACCCAGTGAATTCTCACAAGTGGGGTCTTGGGAGGGTAAGATGAATTAGATAATCTAATACGCTGCATTAGATATTGCTGCAAATTTTTAACTTCTTTTGTGAATTGCAAAAATCAGGATAAACAATCATTTTGAAATAGAAAAATCTGCAGAGAAATGGACATAGGTTATATTTTACATAATTTAAGCAGATTTCAGTTCGATTAAATCATGCTTTTGCATTAGTTTCTGAAATTAATGATAAATAATGGAGAAAAAGCAATGGGAGGAAAATCTGAGTACATCAAGCATATATATAGTGATATAAAAAAGAAAGGAGACTCATGGGACTTTTATTCTAGGAACCACTAATTTGTCTGTTTTTTATATATATGCAAATTTGTCTTAAAAAGATTGTTGAGCACACGAATGAAATGAGAAGATATCGAGAGTTCATATAGCTGATCCAGCTAATTTGAGATTGAGGCATAGCTGTTGTTGTAATATGAAAAACACATTTTATTAAAATAACAGCAGTTTATTATGACTGACCTCATCATATCCAGTGAGCCACACACGAGGGGTTTGATAATACTTATCATACCTGCAAAAAGTAACCATTTGATAACACTTCCTTAATCCAGATGAGACATCTAAATAAGGCCCACAATTGTGCAAATAAGCACNATTAAAATAACATCAGTTTATTATGACTGACCTCATCATATCCAGTGAGCCACACACGAGGGGTTTGATAATACTTATCATACCTGTAAAAAGTAACCATCTGATAACACTTCCTTAATCCAGATGAGACATCTAAATTAGGCCCACAAAAATAAGCACTTATATTAAATTGGAAGCACAAGAATGACTAAGCTAATGAATGAGTTGCCTTACGTGATGCTGATATCATAAGTTCGGGTTCTTAGAATATTGTCATCGTCAGGCTCATGAGCCACAAGATATGCTGTCTGAAGGGTAGCCTGCGAAAATTTCATNCAAAAAACCCCCAACAACAACAACTTTCTTTCCCTCGGGGAGGATAAGATTAATTCATTGAAAAATAGCCAAAGGACTTGTGACCCTTCTTTTCACACCAACAAAGTTACAGCAACAGAAAATAAATTAACTGGCTCTTCAAGCCTTCCTTTTAAACCATTAACTTATTTATTAATGCGTATACATGCATGGGTTCTTACCAGTGACGGAACTAGGATTTTTACTAAGGGGTGTCAAAATATAAAAAAATAAATATACACAAAATTAAGGAGGCTCAACACATAGTATATACACATAAAAAAGTTTTATTTTTCGTATTTACACAGTGTAATTTTTCGACGAAGGGGTGTCGGTTGACACCCTTTGGATGCATGTGGCTCCGCCACTGGTTCTTACACAGACAAAGGAGATGCAAAAGGTTTGGACCAAAAACAATCAAGTGCATGACCAATACACCCTCATTGCAATTGTACTTGTACGCTCTTGAATAGTAACCTTATCTGTTTAATTTTTTTAAAAAAAACAACACCTTTAGCTTTGAACAGATCTTTTTCCAGAACATATTAACTGCAGAAAACCATAAACTTATTATATAATCTCATAAGCCAACACAGGCCGTCATACAGGCAAATAGATGCAGAAGGTTTTCGAGTAACACGTATGATCTCCACAACACTTTCATAATCATTTGTACTTGTATACTGTTGAGTAGTAACCTTAGCTGTTCAGAGACTTTCACAACAGATCTTTTCCAAGAATATCTTAGTGGTAGAATAGTTACACAGTCAACTTTTGCCATGAAAGTTATAAGACCCATTTGGTTGGTAATGTGATCATCTATAGTACAAATAAAACCTCAATTCCTTAAACTAACCAGAAGCAGCGGACCAAGATTTTATAGTCGTGAGTGCTTGTTGGAAGGAGCTCCAAAAGAGGAGTGGAAAAGGAGTTATGTTGTGTTGTGAGGGAAGAGAAAATTTCAATTGTTTGGGGGGAAATGGGATTGGAAAAGGAAGACAAGACAAAAGGTAAGAGGAATTAAGAACGGAAAATAGAAAAGGAAAGAAAAGAGTTCTAGTTTGAGAACGAGGGTTTGGGGGAATAGGGAAAAAAGGTAAAAAGAGAAAAACGAAAGTAAAACAGAAAGCAAATAAGGAAAAATTGGATGATAAGAAAAGCAAATAAAAAAATGAAAGGAAAAGGAAAAAAAAAAAGCACTCAGTTGAAATTTTTCAAAGCAGGAAATGATCCTGCACCACAATGTATGGCAGATCACCTGCTTCCAAGCGGACCCATGTGTCTTTTATATTTAAGGGCGCTCACCGAATTTTATGGTACTTGTTCCTCATTGCCTATTAAGCATATCAAATCTGGTCAACTACAATGGGCGCTTGAACACCCATGATTCTTCATGTAGGTCGGCCATTGGTAACCAACTGTGCGTGACACAAAAGTTGGAACCCAGAATGGTCCTTGTGTTTGCAGTATTAATATCAGCAACCATGGGAATTTTCGTCTCTTCACTACACCTACATGGCTACATTTCTGAGTTTTACCCACCATCTCCCGTTTCCATCTCTTCTTTGTTATTTTTTTTTTTGGATAACCGTGGTGTCCGGGCCAGCTTGCGCGCACCTCGACTAATTCCACGGGATACCTGCCACCTCCCACCAGCAACAGGTATCGGGTAACTCTATCCACCAAGGCTTGGATAGATGGGAAGAAATCACCTAGTATTTGCCTCCGCTGGATTTGAACCTGAGACCTCATGGTTCTCACCCACTTCATTGACCACTAGGCCACACCCAATTCTCACCCAATTTTGTTATAGTGGGAAAAAAAATTCTTAATCTTTGTAATGTTGCTTCAATTCAAATTTTTAGCACATCATGTTCAATAATACATATTATCTTATATATATGCATGTATCGAGTCCCACAAATTCTAGCACTATGACACCAGGGGCGGATTTAGGAGGTAGAAGGGGGTTCGGGGCCGGAAAATTACATTGTGTATATATGGCAAAAACTGTTTTGTGCCTCTATATATTATATTTTGAATCCCCTTGGCACAACCCAAATGCATAGCTCAGTGGTCAAGGTGGTTCAAAACCGTTGTGAGGTTGTTGGTTCAATTCTCACTGGCCACAATCTCTTTTAATTTTTTAACCATTCCTTTTTTTCTTTTTGAACCCCCTTAGCGGAAATTCTGCCTCCGACACTGATGACACCCGTAATTAATGGTCCAACAAATGCATGCATATTCTTCTTATATGAACTCCCGCTAGAGTCGAGCAAAACCGTAATCAAAAACAATCTTGTTACCATCATGCAATTTAGTTGATGAGTATGAACAGTTACAATCGGGTGAATAGATCATATTTTTGTAATATAAAGCAATTCATTTGTATGATTAAAAAGAAAGACAACAGCAATAGATGCAAAAACTCTGTAAAGGCCTTTTGGAGATAAAACACAAGAAATTGCAGCAGGGTGAAACTGAAGATAGGAGAGATTAACCACAAATCACACACTTTTAGAAGAGCAAGTAACAAGGGGAAAAAGAAAAGGAAACCGCACGCAGATTCAGCACATACAGGATCCGTTTCAACGAGATTGTCAGGTTCATCGTACTCTCCCATGTCTGGTATATCTTCCTCCTCTTCACCTCCAAAGTATGAGGAGATTGACTGGATAGTATTCCTTTTGCTAATTTCTAATGTTTCCATTGATGGCAAGTTGTCATCCTCGTCACTTTTGCTTTCTACGAAACAAATGGGACAAATGTCACAATGAAAGATTAAATGCAATTTGTTGCTAGACACACAGTTACGAAGAATACCTTTAGGTTTCCCATGTGTGGCAAGCCAACCATCATTTTCCTCATTATCAAGCAGAACTTCACCTCCAGCAGCTTCATATTCTTCCTCTACCGATGCGGCTCTCCTCAAGCAAGGAACTGCGATAAAAGTTAAATTGGCACGTAACTTACTGGTGAATGATAAAACTCTTCCACTCTAGGCATTCCAAAAAGATGATAAGAGGACGTTTAAGAGCAAGTGAATATCAAAAAAGGTCTACTCAAACTAGCATGATAAGAAAGTTTCTTTTTTTATAAGTTATCATGATAAGAAAGTTTAATTTGTGTAATTCTTGAAGTTCCAGAATTTGATGATGTAGTAGGTGTGAAATGGGAAGATAATATTTGTTCCAACAGTTAAATGGGTATATCAACTGTGTTTAGACCAACCAGCACGCAGAAAATACTTGGCAATTCTATCAGAATTTTCTCCGTTTTTTAAAGTACTTGTAACACCTAATTTAGCTTTTCAAAATCAACTCTGCTTCTTCCTATAATAAAGAAGTGAAAATTAATACTCTAGCTAATTGTGGATAAAAAATGAAATCATCATGAGCACATAAGTTAGCTAGCTCATGTCAACCCAAATGCATGGAATGCTATGAAGAGTGGAGGAGTTATATGATAAGTACCATTTCTAGTTATCAAGAATTGCTTGTCAGCAGGTAAATATGACTTCCTCTTGCTAGGTTCACCTGATTCCCTGTCAATGAACAATTGAAATGTGATACGAGTAACATATAGCAATAATACTACATTGATCAATGCTTAAACAAAATCCTAGAAAGCAAAAAAAATTCTCATCTTCAAAGCAAAATAATATGCATCAGAAGCCGAGAATCAATGTAGAACAAGCAAAAGTAGACAACACCCTGAAGACGGAAAAATAGGAAACCTAAAGCATGAGAGATATCAATAGTCTCTAGTCAGTAAATTCATCACTTCAGACGACATAACTAATACTAATGGGCATCAATCATCTTAGCTCGATAATCAATACCAGAGATGAAAGAAAGAGCAGTCATATGGCAGAAACAAAGTCAAAACTCAAAAGAGAAAATAACTGCTCGACTATAAAGTTTTGAATTTGACAACAAGAAGCAGAGGCGAATCCACCTTTTATAGCAGCAAGTGCGGGACACTAACTACTTTTGGCTAGAATTATAAATCTAGGGGATTCTCAATAATATATTTATACTAAGTCAGCAACCATACTCTGCAGCAACGGGCTTTTAGCCTGGATCCGTCTCCGACAACAAGTCAGCTCATCCTACCACTAATACAATGACTATATATACACACCAAGTTTTATAGTAATAATTAATTGTACCATCATATACACGTATACTGATCTGATTCCATATCACATAAGTTTTGAGCATGAATTGGAGCCTATGCATAGAAATTGGACGCTAAAATCGGTTTTCTCTTCCGCTTTCTCGTAATGTTTTTCGGTTTTTCCTTTTTCACCTTTTTTCTCTATCTTTGACTTAAAGTGAGCAATTGATCCTAAAGTTGAAGGGGAAAAGGAAGTAAAGGAATACCAGGACCAAGTAGGGCATTTGGAGACGAGATTATCGCCGGCGATGATGAACTCATTGATGCTGAGAACGCCTTTCTCTTTGAAAGCAGAGACGGTGCGAGGACTTGTGATTCTCTCCACTGTGCCCTTGAATGCTTCGTGAATCTTCTGTGACAGTACCATTTTCTGCACTCTCCACTTTCACAGGTATCGAAATTCCGACAACTGGGTTATAGAGATTTCTCACCTTTCCTGTTGGAAGCCGGAAATCCACGACTCACGGTGCTTTCCGTGTCCTTCCGGAGCTTGTATTGCGCCTAATTACCGTATCTTCAACTTGGCCCGTGATGTTTATACCTTTATCAATTCACACCCCATACGTTTAGTTTGTGATACGCTACAACACACTAGTTGGTAATTGGGAGCAAAAAAACACTAGCCGGTAGGGCTGTACAAATGAAACCGACAAATCGCATCAATTCGAAAATTCGAGTCAAATCGAGAAAAAAAATACAGTAATAAATAAGGTAACGACGCGACCACACCAAATCGGTCTTTTCATAAAGTGATATTTTTCGTCGTTACATAATGACGGATTTAACAATAAGATACAATAAAATTTAAGTAACAATCAAAATAAATATTGTATTTAAGGTAATAATACAATACAATACAACATGTAACAACCATCCAAACAAGTTGTTAACATATAAACATGTTGGTGTTTACAACAAGTAAATACAATAACATTACAAGATGTAGGATAAAGTATAAGGATGGTGTTTAAAATATTTTTTCATTGTAAAAGATAAAAAATATTTGGTTGATTTTTTTAATAATAAAAAAGAGTGCTTGAAATTAGTATTGAAAAGGATATTTAAAGCAGTGTGCATTCTCGCTTCAGAGGGCTTATGGCAGAGAATTTAACCATTACTCACTTCGCATACTCACTAGGGTATCATAATCGCCTCTTTTCATCGAAAAACTTATATACATACAAGAGGGATGATTATAGTGATTGTGTTAGTTCAGATCTATCCTTCATTCGGAACCTCGGCAAAGGTTGTTTGTCTTGCCAAGAATGATACGTCTCTAGCATTATCACTCAAGTCTTAGACTTGAATTCTGTATTGTCTTTGATGTATGATATTAAGGTAGGGCTGGCAAGTGGACCGGTCCCGGGCCTAAACGGGTCAAGTGGGCCAGTCCAAACGGGCCGGGGACCGGGACCGTTTGGTCCCGGGCTAAGTGGGCTAAGTGGGCCAAATATATATTTTTTTAAAAAAAAAAAAAAATTAAATAGATATTAGAGACAAAAGGATGTTAAAAAATATCTAAGACAATGCTTTGTAAATTTTATTATAGAATTGTGACATAAATTTTAATATTCAATATTTAATATCCTCTCATTGACTAAACTCCTTCTTCTCATTTGATACTTTTGCTTCCATTACTAAAGATAACAGTGATGATATCAAGTCATACGAGAAAGTGTCATCTTCTCTATTTGCTACTAGAGCCATGCCTAAGTTATCAACTCCATCTTCAGTGGCTTTGGCATTAATAACCATTGCCCTTTTATCGATAGTCAAATAATTGTCCCACCAGCCACGAAGTTGGCTAGTAAAACCAGCAACAATCATTCTACAAATATTCCTATCTGTATTTTTCACACTTTTACAGATAGTTACATACATAAGCATTCTATGCACAAGAATAGTTAATTGTCTATCGGTCATTCCATCAAGATTCCATTCGTAAATTTCTGACTCAGAATAATAATCCGATTCCGATCCAGAAGTGTATAACAAACCATAAACCTTATCACGTAGTTCATCGTCTAGTCCTAAGGTTTTCAGCTTTTGAAGCTTGCAATTCGGGGCTATATGGCCAAATTTACCACACTTATAAACTTAATGTCAGCTAGATCTTTCTTAGACCTATTTTTAGTAAATCTAGTAGCCTTACGATGGGCTTTCTTAGCTTCTCGTTCTTCTTTGGATCTATATCTAGATCTCTTTCTCCTATAAGGACTGTCTTGGTTGGGGTATCTATGATACTTATGTTTCTTCTTCTTATGAGTAGAAGTCTCGGGTAAATCTAATTGGGTACAAAAGTCCCCTAACTGGTTTCTTTCCTTAAGCTTATCCATCTTAAGCTGTCTGGACAATCTTAATTTATTGCACAGGTTTAACCCTTCCTGTGTGCAAATTCCTATCAATTTATCATAGGTATAGTCTCTGTATGAAATTTTACCATAACTACCTCTTAAAATCTTTCTAATTCTTTCAGCAAATAAAGAGGGAAGGCCATCTATGAACTTAGCTTTCCAATGTCCAAGCTTATTTTCTGGTAGTTCCATCACTCTACTCATAAAGGTGTCTTTATACCACCTAAACTCACTTAAGGTCTTACATCTAAGGCTATTAAGGAGAGTACGGACAGTCTCATTTTGATTGGTAAATCTACCATTGAAGTGTTCTAATATAGTAAGAATAAGAGTGTAAACAGCATCTTCTCTATTTGCTATTAGAGCCATGCCTAAGTTATCAACTCCATCTTCAGTGGCTTTGGCATTAATAACTATTGCCCTTTCATCGATAGTCAAATAATTATCCCACCAGCCACGAAGTTGGCCAGTAAAACCAGCAACAATCATTCTACAAATATTCCTATCTGTATTTTTCACACTTTTATAAATAGTTGCATACATAAGCATTCTATACACAAGAATAGTTAATTGTCTATCGGTCAATCCATCAAGATTCCATTCGTAAATTTCGGAACCACTGTAAGATGTATTAGTCTGATTCCAATCACGTTCCTCTATTAAAACATCTTGAGGAGTTAGACGGTTGTAATAATAAGTTTGCATTCTGGGTTTATCAGCGTATCTGCTATCCGCAAACTTACTATTCTTTTTTGGGTAACTTCTGAGTTTATTAAACCCTGACAAAACATCCTTTTTGTAGTCAAAAGTATTATCTAATTTATCGGCAAAATCATTTGATAAATCAATGGGTTTGATATTCAAACTGGATAACTTTTTATCAAGAAGTTCTTTTAAATCACAAAAGATTTAAATTTAAAATCCTGAATATCAGGGGGTCTTTGAATATGAGTAAGAACAATTTGAGGTTCTGATTTGCTTCCTGAAGAAGAGGCAATATCAGTCAAGGTCTTTCTAGTACTCATATCCTTAATCAAGACTGTTAAATCATCAAGTTTTTTATTAAGAAAACTAATGTTTTCACCCAAAATTTTAACATATAAACTCAAATAATTATTTTGAGAAATTAATTTATTAATTTCTGTGATGCTTACTGTAGCAACATCTTCATCAATAAATTTTTGGAATGCAGCAAAAGTAATACCTGTATTATTAGGTAAAACAAAAGGTGCTTGAGGAGGGTAAATGGCTTTAGTAATATTGTCATTCCCGTCTTTATAAGATCTTTCTAAAACTTTTATAAAAAGTGGTAAATAGGTGGTTATAAATCAAGGAACAAAATACATAATTTGATTATGTAAAGCACAAGTTTCATAAAACTCTTGAGAAATATTGAATAAATCTTTTTTACTATAAGTATCAAAAAATCAAGTTTTAAACTGGTTCCATTTATCAGTGAAAAATTCTTTTTGAATATAACCTCTAGCTTGTGACCCTGGACTAAAATCAATTTGGTGTGGAATCATTAAGTATCATTGGGGTCAAAATCCATTTCGGATGCAGAAGGAATATCCTTATCGGAAATATTATCATTATCCTGAACAATATTTGTTTTGGGGTTAATCTTAACCCTTTCAACAGGTTTATCACCTACTTTAGTAGAAATTGTGTGTAGTGATGCAGCACGATTTCTAGCTGGTCTATAGACTGGTTCAACAGGAGAAATATGTTANTTTATAAACATCTATATCATGCTTGTTTAACAAACGAATAGTCTGTTCAGACGAATTCAAAGCTGAACAATCTTTAACATATAAACTCAAATAATTATTTTGAGAAATTAATTTATTAATTTCTGTGATGCTGACTGCAGCAACATGTTCATCAATAAATTTTTGGAATACAGCAACATCCTTTTTGTAGTCAAAAGTATTATCTAATTTATCAACAAAATCATTTGATAAATCAATGGGTTTGATATTCAAACCGGATAACTTTTTATCAAGAAGTTCTTCTAAATCACCAAAAGATTTAAATTTAAAATCCTGAATATCAGGGGGTCTTTGAATATGAGTAAGAACAATTTGAGGTTCTGAGTTGCTTCCTGAAGAAGAGGCAATATCAGTCAAGATTCCATCCTGTAAATATTCACGGGATAAGAAATCTGGCAAAGAATTATCAATTCCCGTCTGTTGAACAAAAATGCAACTCTAGCAAGAGATTCTTCTTTCGATGATTTAAAAAATGAAGTTGAAAACTTGAAACGAGAGATCAAATCTCTTAAACAAAATCAAATAATTTGTGATCATAGGATTACTCGGATTGAGAAAATCAATTCTCCAGCTGAGAAATCTAATGATAAAAACAAAGGTATTTTTGAAAATGATATTAAAGAAAAACCTATTAGTTTTAATCCTAAACATGATATGTTTTTAGGGAAGATGCAAATTATTACTGCTCATAAATGGTATATCAAATGTACTATTCTCATTGATAATAGTTTTTCAATTACAAACATTGCCATGATTGATAGTGGAGCAGATGTTAGCTGCATTCAAGAAGGTTTAGTATCTACGAAATATTTTCAAAAAACTATTCATATGGTTAGATCTGCATCCGGACATGCTTTAGATATAAAGTATAAACTTTCCAATACGGGTATTTGTTAGAATAAAGTCTGTATTCCTCACTTCTTTTTCTTGGTAAAAAATCAGTTATACCCTCCAATTATACTTGGAACACCGTTTATTAACGCCGTTTATCCTTTTACTAGCATAGACTCGAAAGGTTTTACTGCTACTTATAAGGATAAAGAGATAAGTTATACTTTTGTTACAGATCCAGTAACTAGAGATATTAATGCTTTAATTGATATGAAGCAAAAACATGTTGATTCTTTACAATTAGAAATGTTTAGTATGAATATATTTGATACTCTGAATTCTACTAAAGTACAGGAAAAAATCAAATTGATTTCCGAGCAGATTGCTATTGATATTTGTGCTGAGCATCCTAGTGCTTTTTGGAATCGAAAAAAGCATATTGTTACTCTTCCATATGAAGATAATTTCACTGAGGATGATATTCCTACTAAATCTCGACCTTGTCAGATGAATGCAGAATTGGTGGAATTTTGCAAAAAAGAGATTGATAG